AAAAAAAAACACAGCAACAAAATTTCAAGCTGAATGCTTTTATTTAATAATAATATTAAGATTTTGCAGTTTTTTGGGAATTTTTGGTTATGGTGAATGTGATTAACTACCTCTTGCTGATCACATACTTTATAGATATCTCTGATGGTGGACTTAATTGTACCGATCAATATTGACAATTAGAGATTAATAACCACATATGTCGATATACAGAAGATCTTGTTGTCGAAAATATACTGCATACCGAAAAATTGATGACACTTATGATTTTGCTCAATTTTTCGTACGCATTATCAAGTTTTTTATTTATAGTAGTCCAATATACTTAGCAATTGATTACATGGATACTCATTGTACAGGAAATGACTGGAAAAAGGATGATCCCGTTGACAGGACTACTTAGTACAGCTACGCCAACGATCTGAGCCATATACACACACCTGTGACGCAGAGAATTTTCAAGTTTTACACTTAAACGTCTCAAAGAGAAGTGAAATAACGTTATGGAATTTGATATGCTGGGTAATTATAGTGACACTCCGATATATGATTTAATAACATTTAATAACTATAAATTTCAAATATGTTGGCTCTAACAAATGCCGAATAGCACGTAACAACAAAAAATTAGTTATTCATATGAATGATGTCACCGTCTAATTCTTATGATTATTTAGCTCCTTGTTTATTTAATTAATTAATAATAAAAAATAAAAAGAAACAGATAATATCACAGTAAATAAAAAATCAACTCTAAATTTCATTGAATTAAATTAATATACTAAGAATTGCAAGTAATAAATAGATAATTTGAAAAAAATTTCCACAACAGTCCTACTATTCAAATTTTCATACATCGAAGAGGTTCGGAGGCCTCAAAATCGAGCAATAATTTTATACATTCAAGTTTACACGTGGTAAAATTTTTATTAATAACTATTATTCCTTTGATCTTGGAAACTTTTTTAATTACCAGCGAACAACAATAATTAAAAAAAAATCTGCTTACTGTAATGAAAAGAATTTTTAAGTGTAATATATTCTTAAAGGGTATTTTTCGTCAAATATTCTAAAAGTGATGTTTTTGAGAGTTAAGTATATTTAAGCAAACTTTTACAGTGTAAAGGAGGCGAAACTCCTTGCAGTAAAATTATTTGAAAAATTTGGGCAAATAAAATCATACAAAAAGCTTTGCCGAGGAATAAAAACTAGTAATAGGGAATCACTGATAATATAATCATTTTTTCACCTCGTAAATATCGTTTTTAACTAAGAATTTTATTACTCGATAAACCTAACGCTTCCGTTATTTTCCCGCAGTAATAATAATTAATATTTCTATTGCCAGGAATTCAGTAATGGAACCAAACTTTATTGTTTTCCTGATTAAAGTCATACGTTATTTAAAACGCAATAAAATGCATCTTATGTTAAATATCCAGTAGTTTGAACCCCTTGTGTAAATAACAGTTAAACTTGCATTTGTCAAGTTTCTCTTTCCAACCGCAAAAGAAAGGGGTTTTTTGAAAAAAGCAAAAATCATTGAAGCAAAAACTTGTAAACCTTAACAGGTAATCCATCGCAACAACTTCCAAACGGCACGATGACGGGTCCAGCTGAATGCACGCAAGGCCCCAAATGGGCCCCTCATGGAGGAGGTGCCATCGGGCAAAACGCCCTCGCGAACCTACAAAAGGCCATCGACGCGATGGAGAGCAGAGGCTTGTGGGACGACCCGCGTTACGCGCAGCTCCTCGTCCTGAAAGCCAAACGGCTGAGCACCGAGGGCCCCAACAATCGGCAAGCCCTCACCAACCACCAGATCCGTCAACTCCACGCCCAAATAATGGCCTACCGGTGCCTCGCGCGGAACCAACCCCTGACGCAGCAGCAGGTGCTCGCCGCGCTAGGCCGGAGACCCACTGACCCGGCGCAACCACCACCGGCACCGGATAACCCCCGCAACTTTCTCGGCCTGTCGAAATTGTTCCGTGACCAGCAGCAGCAAGGGCCCCAAGGTGCATCGAAGCTCTGCAAAACGACGTCCGTGGGTAAACCGTGCGGGCTCGACCCGTTGGTTGTACTGCAAGAGCGGGAGAGCAGAGTCGCCGCGAGGATAGCCCACCGCGTGGACCAGCTTAGTCACGGGGTGACGATCATGCCGGAGGACTCGCGGATTCAGGCTGAAGTGGAGCTTCGTATGTTGAAGATGTTGGACTTCCAGAGGCAGGTCAGGACCGAGGTGTTGGCGGGCATGCGTAGGGACGTGGCGTTGGAGACCGTTGTGGACCTGAAGGCTTACAAACGGGCCAAGGGCCAAGGCGTGCGGGAGGCCCGGGCCACGGAGAAGCTCGAGAAGCAGCGGAGGTTGGCAGTCGAAAGGGAGCGCCGGCAGAGGCATCAAGAGTTCATCAAGGCGGTGTTGCACCGTGGCAGGGAGTTCAAGGAGTTCCACAGGAGTAACGTCGCGAGGCTGGCCTGCCTCAACAAGGCCGTCCTCCACCACCACGCCAACGCCGAGAAGGAGCAGAAAAGGGAACAGGAGAAGATTGAAAAGGAGCGCATGCGGCGACTCATGGCCGAGGACGAGGAGGGCTACAGGAAGCTCATAGATCGGAAGAAGGATAAGCGGCTGGCGTTCCTCCTGTCCCAGACTGACGAGTATATTTGCAATATAACCGAGATGGTGAAGCAGCATAAAATCGAGCAGAAGAGGAAGAAGCTGGTGGAGGAAAAGAAACGCGAGAGGAAGGAGAAAAAGCATCTTAATGGCGAAGATCGTCGCGTCGGTGTCGTTGAAATTGGCACGAGCCGAACTCTAACTGGCGAGGAAGCGCCTTTGATGAGCCAATTGGGGGCTTTTCTCGAGTCCCATCCCGGATGGGAACCAATCAAATCGGGGAGCGAATGTGAAGACAATGATGCGGAAGGGAAAGATGAAAGGAAAGAGGTGCAATCGGACGAAGACGCGGTTGAAAGGACCATACAAGAAGCCAAAGTGGAAGACGATGAGTACAAAGCGGAGGAGAAAACTTACTACAACATAGCTCATGCCGTTCGCGAAGTTGTCACCGAACAGGCTTCGATTATGATCAACGGCCGATTGAAGGAGTACCAAGTCAAGGGCTTGGAATGGATGGTCTCGTTGTTCAACAACAATCTAAACGGCATTTTGGCCGACGAGATGGGCCTCGGCAAAACCATCCAGACGATAGCCCTGATCACGTACCTCATAGAAAAGAAGAAAGTCAACGGGCCATTCCTCATCATTGTTCCTCTGTCGACGCTCTCGAATTGGATGCTCGAATTCGAAAAGTGGGCGCCCAGTGTCGTTGTAGTTTCGTACAAAGGCTCCCCAACCAGTAGAAAGATGATCCAATCACAAATCCGCGCAATCAAATTCAACGTATTGTTGACCACTTACGAATACGTAATGAAGGATAAAGTCATCTTGGCAAAGATACATTGGAAGTACATGATCATGGACGAAGGCCACAGGATGAAGAACCACCACTGCAAATTGACTCAAGTGTTGAACACGAACTACACGGCGGCTCATCGATTGCTGCTCACCGGCACACCGTTGCAAAACAAGTTACCCGAACTCTGGGCCTTGCTCAACTTTTTGCTCCCATCCATCTTCAAGTCTTGTAGCACTTTCGAGCAGTGGTTCAATGCACCGTTCGCCACAACCGGCGAAAAAGTCGAGCTCAACGAGGAAGAGACCATCCTCATCATCCGCCGTCTCCACAAAGTTTTGCGTCCCTTTTTGCTGAGACGTCTCAAAAAAGAGGTGGAGTCACAGCTGCCCGACAAAGTCGAATATATTATTAAATGTGACATGTCGGGTCTGCAAAAAGTACTGTACAAGCACATGCAGAGCAAGGGCGTACTGTTGACCGACGGGTCGGAAAAAGGTCGACGGGGCAAGGGTGGCACCAAGGCCCTGATGAACACGGTCGTGCAGCTCCAAAAAATCTGCAACCACCCATTCATGTTTCGAAGCATCGAGGAGAAATACTGCGAGCACTTGAGAATCCAAGAAATAACTGATCTTGTCGGTGGGCCCGATTTGTACCGTTCATCTGGAAAATTTGAATTGTTGGACCGTATTTTACCCAAGCTAAAAGCCACCGGCCACAGAGTACTGCTCTTCTGTCAGATGACCCAACTAATGACAATTATGGAAGATTACCTGAATTATCGAGGGTTCGTGTATTTGAGGTTAGATGGGGACACCAAAGCCGAGGATCGAGGCGACATGTTGAGGAAGTTCAACGACCCGTGCTCCGAATGTTTTATATTCATTTTGTCGACGCGAGCCGGTGGTCTGGGCTTGAACCTCCAGACTGCGGATACGGTGATAATTTTCGACTCCGACTGGAACCCCCACCGGGATTTGCAAGCGCAGGATCGAGCCCACCGTATTGGGCAGAAAAACGAGGTGAGAGTGCTGCGGCTGATAACCGTGAACTCCGTGGAGGAGCGGATCTTGGCTGCTGCCAGGTACAAGCTGAACATGGACGAGAAGGTCATCCAAGCTGGCATGTTTGACCAAAAGTCCACTGTTTCGGAGAGACAGCAGTTCCTCCAGAGTATACTGCACCAGGACGACGCAGACGACGGGAAGGAGAACGAAGTGCCGGACGACGAGACGGTGAATCAGATGATAGCGAGGACTGAAGAGGAGTTCGACGAGTTCGAGAGGATGGACGTGGAAAGAGGGAAGCAAGAAGCGAACATGAATTTGAATGGAAAACCGAGGTTGTTGGAGGTGTCGGAGTTGCCAGAGTGGCTTCGAAAGGACGAAGAAGAAGTGGAAAGATGGACCTGCGAAGAAGACGAAGATAAAGTTGCGACGGGCAGAGGATCCCGGCAACGTAAAGAGGTTGACTACACAAACAGTTGCACGGATAAGGAGTGGCTGAGGGTCATAGGAGAAGAAGGGAGCCTCGACTTGAAGGAGGGGCGGGAAGAAGGGGGTGACAAGGAGAAAAAGTTAACGAAGAAGAGGAAGAAGGGCGATGATAACGACGACTCGATGCCAGAAAAGAAGAAGGGGCACGTTGATCTGAAACTGAAGAAAAAAATGAGGAAAATTTTGAACATTGTCATCAGCTACTCAAGCGATTCGGATGGTTATCGATTGAGTGAGCCGTTCATGAATTTGCCACCTCGCAGAGAGTTTCCCGACTACTACAAAATCATCAAAACGCCTTTAGCCATCAAGAAACTCATGCGGCAGATTGGCGACAATAGATATGCCAGCTTGGATGATTTGGAGAAGGATTTCATGCAGTTGTGCAAAAATGCACAGATCTACAACAGAGAGAACTCGTTGATCTACGAGCATTCGCTCATTTTGCAAACCGTATTTACAGAGGCGCGGCTTAGGATTGAGGCCGAGAGTCAAGCTTCCGAAAACAAAAAAGATGTGCGAGACGTGGAGAAGCGATCGAATGCAGATCTCGGTATGAAGACGAAAACGAAACCAAAGGGTGTACAAGGCGAAACCAGCAGGGTAAAACAAAAAAAGCTGCCAGCTTGAAACTACGAGGAGACGTTGTATAAATCTATTTTAAAATATTGTGGTTAAGTTTTTAAGTGAAATTTTTATGGTAAAAAACGAGCTTCGGTTATAATGGCTTTTGAAGGAAGAACTTATTTATGAATAAACTAAATAATGTAATTTTTCAATAAAATGCTGTTATAATTGTTACTAGACATATTAAAGGTAACTCAAACAATACGTTTACAGTTTTTAAATGTCAAATGTTATACTTTTCTATATTCCTTTTTTATTTTTTTCCTGAAATTTTTGTGTTTATTACTGGCAGATTATAATCTTTTATTCAATCGTTATTCTCTAATTCCATAGTGTAATGTAGTTCGTATTGGGATTCCAAAAGGTCACTTGACTCGCGATATATATTATAGCCAATTATGGGAAAAATAAGACGGGCCTTATGGGTGCAATTTTATTTATTTTTTTTTTTTTTAACGTTCAATGATTGTAATAAGATAAAAGCCTTTTAATAACATTTTTGTGAGGAGATGACAATACCTTATCTATTTTTTTCCAACTCAATAGGTCTTTTGCAGCTTAAGACTTTTCTTTGAAAGTGCGAAAACGCGCATTTAACCTTACCAAAATCCCGCTTGTTTTCCTATGTACTTATAGTCGGGAATAAAAATAGAATTGCACCCATAAGGCCTGTCTTATTTTTCCCCCAACTGACTATATATACCGCGAGAGTCACGTGACCTTTTGGAATCCCAATACTATTTTTCTGCGTCATACCCATGTCGAAAGAACTCATTATCTGTTTTGGAGTAGTAGGGCAGATATGAAGCACTTTCGGCGGAGGTATGCAGAAAAAACTCTATTTTCTCATGCGTGGAGAACTCTCGTTATATTAGCCATCACAGACAACGCAGCCTTTCTCTGATTCGTACGAGTAAGACGCAATTGTACTGACCAAAAGAATCCATCGCCACTATCTCGTCCAAAGCGACAACGAGAAAAACAAAAGTATCATTTTCTGTCCCGATCATTCTTTTATGTGCAGCAAATTTGTAACATAGACATCCACTTTAAGGGAGCGCACGCATGTGTGTGTGTAAGCCTCTCTAACTCGTATCCTTACCTTTGTCCTTGATGGATCGGCGAAAAGACACAATCTTTCCGCGACCGTCCATTTGTGTTTACAGGATCCGAGGGCCTCCTCACTACGCAAACCGGAACATTTCAAAGACTAAATGGACACAGACTGTATAATATGGTCAAGGGTTTTTAAATATATTTAGTATTGTATAAATTCGTTGAAAAATCGATATTGTGATGCATCACCAAATGAAAATTCAACGTTTTCGAACCATAATTTTAACTGTTATAAGAATAATCTTTACTATTACAAATAAAAACTTTTCCCTTTTCTGCCACCTTGCATTCGATTTACTGTGCGAAAAGGTAATTTTTGCTGGAATTTCTCTATAATTTTTTTTATTTTTTTCTCTCAGTGTGCATCATATACAAAACAGCGATATTTCAACTTTTCCGAGTCGATAACCAAACTGGTACTTATGTTCGAATACCCAAATGCTGCCGTTAAAATTAATTAGGTCCAGAAATCAAAGGGATGCAAGGTCAGGATGACTGGATTGACCGGACCTTGAGTCGCTGTGTTTGCGCGACAGCATTTGGAGCAGTCGAGGGGAGGTATAGTCAAAGAAGTTGGCTGGTATCAGTTTCGAATGTTGTTGGTTAAGAAAAGAAAATAAAAACACCAAACAAAACAAAAGGCTAATTTTTTTTTTTTTTTTTTTTTTTTTTTTTTTTTTTGGCCTTTTTGGTTTTTTTTTAATAATTTTTTCAAGAATAAACGGCGATCGGATCGATGAAGATTAACCATCCTGATTCTGTTATCCAAAAAGTGAAGCTCTTAGCAAATAAAGCTTAACTAGTGAGACGGACTTTAGCGTTTTTATTTTGGAGAGACTGACCTTACGAGTTCGCAATCTGTAGCACTGGCTTATTGTAACGGAAAAATCGAAAAAAATGTATGCAATACCCTTAAGCTCCGTAGAACACAAAACGTTTAATTGGAGCCCCAAATTTGGTTACACACATTTAATTTGTGATACCACTTTTCGTAGAAATGTTAAATTTGTCAAGTTTTGATCTCGCAACTTAAAAACCAATTCAAGTCTTGAATAAAATTTCTATTGGTTCTCTAAAATGTACGAAATTGTTGTTAACATTAATAACTGTAAAATTCTATATGTGTCCGAATCAATAAAAGTTCCGTATTTTACTTCCAGGTGTCGTCAAAACTGAAAATTTTCGACTGAGATTATCTTAAGCTTGGGACGCTAATTTAAACCTTTTTTTTATCCAAACCTATAGCAATAATTTTTTCTGATACCTTAATTTTGTTGTACCTTCAGGAGACAACTTTTCTTGATTATTTATAAAGGTTTTCAAATCCAGAGCTCCTCACCTGGTATTGTGATCAACTAGGACATCAAATTGATCGTTTTTGGTAGAATGACCCGTATACTTTTTTTTAGAAAACTGGAAGTGGAGTCGAACAAAGAATTTTTCTCTGACAGGAAGACACTTCATTTTTTTTTTTTTTTTTTACGTATATTTCATTTAAGATTTTACAATTAATTGGATGTAACAAGCATTGAACAAAACATAAAAATTTTTTGCTTCTTAATATTTTTACACATGATTCGCTTCGTAGCTGTAGCCTGCGGCTATGTAACAAGTGTAAAGTTTAAGTAAAGTTAAAGTTTTCTGGCCGGTAGGGGTAAATAACCAAATTGCTGCGTAGGCGCCAATTACTAAGCACCTGATGGCAATACAAAATAAGAAAAACGGACTCGAACATTCGTGTGCTTCAGACATTGTACGTTTGGACATTAATAACGTTCAATTCAGAATCATACTTTACATCATGACATTCATCATTGTTTAATTAAAAGACTTGTTCGACACGCCGTGCGCGGGGTGTGGGGACCTTCACACACACACACATGTATACTACTGATCACCGTCCTTCTCCAACCATCCGCTAGGTCTCTAACCATTCAAGTAACCCTTCTCGCAAGTGTCTGGATCTCATGTTGGTTTACATATAAGGGCGTTTAAGATGAGCTATGGTATCCCCACCGATATAGGTGTCTAAGGCAGGGAGCACGTCATCCTTACTGATGAGTCCTGGCGTGCTCCTGGAATGAAACATCAAACAATCTTTTATCTCTGATCATGGCATTACTTGATCGCCATATGGGACTCGATTAGGAGCCATCTGTACTATCTGTATACTTTTTTTTTTTTTCATTATAGTGCTCTACGTCCGGCTCCTTTAATAAGGGCACTACTATGGGCACTTAGCACTTGGGAAAGGGACAAGGAAAGGGATGGGAGGCCTCCCATTACTGAGAGGGGGATAGGGGGAAATTAGGCAATTTTTGCTGCGAGGAGGTCGCCTAAACCCTCCTCGAGGAGCATTGCGTGGTGAAAAAGCACATGTGAACAATCACANTCACATAATTAAAGCTGTGCCCTTAGCTTTACTTTAATTAAATTCCTAATTTACTTAACTTACATTTTAGCTCGATGCGAAAGTCATAATTTTTTAATATAGAACTAGAAAAATCCGAGCGCCCTTCATCAATAACCAATAGTATGATCGATCCATCGGCCGATTGAACTTCTATACTATCGATTTGATGATTGTTGGCACCGAATCGATGCTTGTAGAAGCATTGCTGCGACGTATAATTATGTAAACTCGTGGAAAAAACAAGTGTACATGCACCTACGATACCGTAGAGATTAGCGATCTTCGCTCGCGGCTTATGAAAAACGTATGCAAAAGCGCAGCCCTCTCGTACATATAAAGGCCATGTGTACCGAGCGATCCCAGTTTAGTCTAAAAGATTCTGAACACAGCGAACATCGGTAAAAATGGTGAACTAGTTTGTGATGTCTAAGGCTATTTTCATCGGTGAAAGTTCCTTGGCACTCGTCACAGTCGAAGTACTGCCAAACCATATCATCATTTTGGACAATACTGGTTGTGCACCAAATGGATTTGCAGTGTTGGGTCGACAAGTGGACTTCGTTTCGATCGGAAAACGACGGACATTTGGATTTGGAACTGACATAAGCACACGCGTGTGACGTAACAGTACTACTTGCACTGAATTTTTGGTAATCCCTTGACGTGATCTCCGGAAGTTTCAATCCCGTTTGAATTTGTTGACAGGTATTTGCGTTATTAAGAATATAAAGTTAAGTATACGAAAATCATATAATTTTTAACTTACTTAATATTTAATCATTATATTGCACATCTCCATGCTAAAATTTAGTCAATATTTTCGTACTCCAGTGATTTGACTCTACGTTCAAAATATGTAAACCAATATAATGTACAGGACACAAATATTAATATTTAGTACATATCCACGGAACACCGTCAATGAGCCAAAAAATCAATAGCAATTTATAACTTCCAAGTGTAAAAGTTCATTGAGAATGTTATAAACTGTATTGATAAAGATTTGATCCGGCTTTACTTTGACCAATAGTTAGAAAAATTTCTTATAGGTGGTGAAAATAATTAAAAAAAGGTTAACAGACAAATAATTACAGAATACAAGCAAAATCATACGTGAAGAACTACTAGCATGAGCAGAAAACTTAGTTTCTGTCCAACTTTTCTTTTTTTTTCTGCAAAATCCAAGAATTTTACAAAAAAAATAGCAAGAGGTGTTTTTTGTTTAAAATGGACCAATCAACCTAAAGAAATTTTTTTTAGGTCGGAAACGTAAA